AAAGCTCCCATTAAACAAACCCTGTAATAGAACTGAGCCTTAGCGGCTGCAAAGGAAGGAAACTGTAACTTCTGTCAAAGCACAGAGATGAGATTAGCGCTAATAAAGCATTCCTCACAAAGCAGGGTGATAGTAGATGGGGGAAGGCACATCCAAATAGCTCTCATTTCCACAGCATTTCCCTTCAGATATGGGCTTTTTAATTAGCCATCGGAAAGAAAACTGAAAGTGTACTTTCTCCTTCTCAGTTTCTCCCTGGCTATTAATCTCCGTGCTGAAAACCGTGCCACCGGTCCATCTTATTGTTATTAGCTAGTGGAGACGTAAAAGAGACACATTCATAGTCCTTATCGCAGCACAGAGGTATTTCCTTTGTGTTATGAGGAGTATTTTGATTAGTTTTGGCTGTGTCTGCAGGGAAGACACAGTTTATATTTTCCACAGCTAGAATAATTTCTAGAAATATAAAGATTTGTTCCAGCACTTGGCAGTATTTATTGGTAGGGTTTAATGATTGAAAGAGTTTCATTATTGTGCCACAGTCTTTCTTTTTTTTACTCCTCTTGGCTTCATGAGTAAGTTTGAGGCAAAACATTGATAGTGGATTGTTCCTGGAGTAGGTTGCTGATTTTTAATGAATCATTTGTTTGAGGAATGAAGCTTCCCTCCCCTGTGACTGTCCTATCCACTGGCACATGCAGATAATTGCACATTTGAAGAGCCACAGAGGCCCTCTTGGGAAGGATCTCAGTGGGACACCAAATCCTTTTTCACTATGTCTTGTCTTCTCTTAAAGTGTTTAACCTCCTTTTAAGAGCACAGGTAATGATAATTCTCCAGTTTTCTCTGGTGGATCCCGGACCTTCTGTCTGTCAATGGAGACAAAGTATTCTTTTTCTCTTGGCAGCATCCTAGTTTGTATATTTAAAGTCTGTTACCTGAAGACTTGCTCACTTTTCCCTTCATTTCATTAAATACTCAGTTTCATTCCAGACAATGCAGCAGGTGGGACCTGGGGCCAGGCAGCAGTTTAAGGTGGCTGCCACTGGCAGATACTCTCAGTCCTTCTGCTTGTGCTCCGTGCTCCCACAGAGCCAAGTCTGTTTGGAAACTGTGCTTTGATGATTCTCAGTTTTCTTAATTCTGCATGTTTAATATGTGGAATATACAGAAAAAAGTCATTATCTTCTGCAGGGGGAACCACGCACGGTGCTGTGCTGGGCAGGAGCTGTTCTGCCCACCCCATTTCCCACACACAGCCCGAGGTACATGAAAGACAGATGGGCAGTCATAGCACTTCTGCTTTCCAGTAAGAAAAGCTCCCTGATAAATCTGGCCATAGCAATCCAGGATGACACAGTTCAGTGGCTCCCTGTGGCTTCTTACCACATAGAAGGGAAAGGGAAGAGTAATGTTCTCCTTCCCCCCTGCAGAAAGATAAGGTGGCTGGGCTGACAGCCCCCAGGTAAGAGCCAAAAGAAAATTTGCAGCAAACATGGCTGCTCACACATTTCTGATATCTCATCAAAGGGAGACAAAAAGAAAAATTACAATGCTTCCCAGGTGTGCAGGTTTTGCTTGAGGGAAATGATGGGAAACGTAAGCCACTTTTGGGTATAACAGGAGTAACACACACTTACACTTTCCTTCTTGAGGTTGCTAATTTTGCATGACTACTTCAGCTGAGGAAACCATATTATAAAAAATCAAGTGCTGGCAAAGTTCCTGTTGACTCAAGGAAACTCAGAACTGCATTCTTCTTTGGTTTATCTATTGTTTCACTCACAAACCTGAAGCAAGCAGAAGGTTCAGGAGTGCTAATTTGGGACCATTAGGAATCCCTAAATAATTTAATGATGACCTCTATTGTTTTGTATGTGGAAAAAAACCCAACCAACCAAAAAAAACCCAAAACAGAACAATCCCCCAACAACCAAACAAAACCCAAGAAAAGCCAAACCAAAATGCCACACCAGGGTAACAGTGGAAAATGGCCCCCTGATTCAGGGATTCCTGTCACTTCAGACATTTCCTACTCTGACAGACTTGGAATATAGCTCCACAGGAATGATCAGGGTACACTTCACTGTGAATTTGTTTTCTGTCACTGTTGTTCAGATGTCCAAGTGCTTTTACTCTCCACAGTTGCTATTACACTAAACCAGGAAGGTCAGAAATTTGCCTGCTTTGGCTAATGCATAGCAGACCCAGCTTTACTCTCTTAGGCGAGCCATTGCAACATCTCACAAGTGGTAATACCTACACAGGAGCATCAGAGAGGAAACATTCTGCACCTCAGGGGTCTGTAGGCAAATGTCAGCACCCAGGGCTGACACTGGTACCCCGGAACTCAGACACTGGGTGCCTGAAGCACCCTGCTTCTCTTTGCCTCCCTTTATCTCCAGTCTCAACAGGGCAAGAGCAATGTTCCTCATGTTGAGGCACTTAGATACAGTGAGCTAACTCTGTATTTATGGAAAGTCTGGAGCAGATTCCTTCCACTCTTATAGCATGTGCCTCAGAAGAGTCTGTCTACTGCAGAAATCTCCCTGCACCCTCCAATCAAGGGAACAATAAAAAAGGTATCTCAAAAATGTGGCAACAGTGCATAGTCAGCAGTGCTTGAAATCAAAACAAGGTCTTCAGGGAGCAAAACAAACTTCCCACTCTGGAAAAATTCCTGATCCCCAGTTTCCCAAAATGCCGAAGCAAAACATAATTGTCATGGCTCTTCCTATCTCTAGCATCTGTCATTGAAGTGGCCAGAATGAAGCTGTTATTTGTAGCATGTAGCTCATCCGAAGCCTCTATCAATGAAACCATTTAATTGCTTTCTTTGGGATATTTTGGGATATTATGCAGTTGACTTTTCTGTTGTAGTTTTCCTTGTCAAGGTGATAATCTTGTGACTCACTGTCATGAGGGAGGCTTCTCTTTCCTGCCAGCCATAATCGTAATCCACTCACTCCTGGGTCTGTAATTGCTCCTGCAGATGGGAAGACACCTCCCGACTTTGTTGGTACCTTCAGGAGCACATTAGAAATTATTGCATTCAAATGAGAGTAGTGAGGTAAGGCCCCCTAAGAGAAGCTGCGGGATGGAGGTAACAGTAAATAACATTTCTTATGCAGTTCATTAATATTGAATAATTTATTGGATAACTATTTGGGAAGTAGTGCTACTGCTTGATTTCAAGCAGAGAGTTGCCTGTGGAATAATTCATAAATTCAAGCCTTCCCAGAGGCTACCGCAGACCTGAGCCATTCTGCCACAAAATCTGAGTAGCCCTGCTCACAAGGGTGGGGTTCCACCCATCCCTCTCATTTGGTGTAAAGCAGGTGCTTTAAGCTCTGTGAATGTAAAAAGTGTGTTCCTGAATGAGGACTGGCATGAACAAGCTCCCTTAAAATCCTAAAATTAGTTGTTAAGCCGATTCCATTATTTAGATTCTCTGTCCAACAAAGCACTGCAAAAAGTCAGGATCTCCCTTCAATTAATGCTGGAGGCATTTAGATTCCAAGGTTTTTAACATGCTAGGGATAATCAGCCTTTTTGGAGGAGGTTTCTGTAAGTGCCTGCTGCTGGCAGCTCTCAGGGACGGGATGTGAGGTGAGGTGAGATGAGGTGAGGGAGGTCTTTGAGGATGCAGTGCAGTATTTCTCTTCCTGCAAAATTTTCAGGTCTCCCTTTCTCCATGCTCTACTCTTTCTCTTTTTACCTTCTTTCTTTCTGGCTTCTCTCCTCCTCACCAGGCACTGAGGCTGTGTAGCACCTCCCACAATCCATAAGAAGCACAGAATACCAGGTTATAATTATCTAGCAAACGGTATTTAGGTGGGCAGTCAATCTGAAACACAGCTTTTGGAGGAGTTGTGCTGCTTTGGTTTATACTGAATTTAATGACAGATCATGAAATCTCCTCCATCATGGCTGCTTCCCCATGGCCAGGCAGCTCCAGCAAGCCAAAGGGAGTGGTAGTTTTACTTGTGAAGCCACAAAAGCAGCCTTCATCTCTTGCTCTGTCAAAGTTTTCTGCCTTTGCCAACTACCAGAACTTATTCTTCTGCATACCGATTAAAAAGAAGTCCAGGATTTATTTTTTTTAGTGGGGTTGACCCAAGCTGTCAGTCCAAGAACCAACTTTACAAGAGGTGTGTGATGCACACCCACCTCAGTGGTGATGGAACAGAGCCCAGCAAAGCTCTGCAGGGTGCAGATGAAACACTCCCTGGCTCAGGGTGAGACAGAAAGGTGATAAACAGCAGCACCTGGGGAATATTCCCCTTCCCACCTACCACCACCACCTTCTCCCTTTTTCAAAAACACAAATAAGCCAACTCAATTTGCATTTTCATAGCTGGGAGTGATTGCTAAATTAATGAGCACTGCTATTTATATCTAAATAATCACAGTCCTAAACAACTGCTTAGAGGCATCAGTATGGAAGGTAAGATTCTGGGCTATGATTTGATGGGTTTCAGGCAGCACTTGTCATCTGAAGAAGGAAAATCTATTCCAACTACCAAAAAAACCCCAAAACAGCTTTATGATATTTCAGACACTCTGAAGGAAACTGGAATAAGAAAGTTATGTGAGCAGTGTATACAGACTTGGCTTGCTTACCAGACTATGCTGGCCTTAACATTATTCAGAGGAAATACTTTTGCTAAGCAGTTTCCTTTAACCATCTTAGTTGCCACAACCCTGACAGGGACTTCCCCATTAAGCTGTCCTGCACAGGGTACTCAGCATTGTTCCCAGAGTGTGTGAAGAGCCCTTGCAAGCCAGCTCTGTCCTCGCTGCCTTTGGCTGAGTTTCTGTAAAGTGAATCTCTTGGCTTAGTGCAGAGCTTGTGAGGCCACTTAAATCTCTCTGACCCCTTAATGAAGTTTTTAAAAGGGCTTCATAAATCTTCATCACTAAGAATCGCCTAAAGCCCTGCAGGGTTTTTCTAGTGGCATTAACCACTAAAACAACTAGACAGGCTCAGGTCTATTTATTGCATTCATCTTCATTATTTCATGGGTTTTCCTCCTTTATAGACTTTTATATAAGCTGCAACTGAGAAAGGGAGCTCAGGAGCAGGAGTTCTAAGTCCATACTGCCTGTCTGGAAGTTTGTAGCCGTCCACAATCTGATCAGTCCTCTTCTTGGGAATGTTTTTTTGTGCAGGCAGCAACTGAATGTTGGCAATTTATCCTTCCTTATTTAAATCATTGTGTTGTTCCTCATTAGAGAAAGAACCTCATTTTTGCCTTTCCTGTGAAAACATACCTCAGGTCACAACCTGACAGCTTCAAAATGGATTAGTTACCTGCCTGCCCTTCAATTTTCTTTTTTTTTCCCTTGGAATTTTGGCTGACTTTGAAAATGGCTTTTTATGAGTAGCATGAGTATTCTCTGAAATAACTTCCACCTAGATGGATATGTAAAGACTACTAGGAAAGTATGATTTTTTTTTTTAAGCCTTTTACATACCATGTATTGTGCTCTCCACAGTGAGTGTTTGGATTCTATATGCTATGTACTGTTGTTTGATTCTTCACCTCTGCAAAGTGAGGACAGATGAGTCATGACTGAGGTTCACAGACAAACAGAAAAATACTCCAGTGCAGGTAAAGTCATTGAAACCAGTGGGAGACTTTGAAGAAATGGTTTCAAGGCTAATTCTGCAGACAATGAAGGACTAAGGCTCTATTGACCTTTTGAAGGATTGGAGATCCTTGTGGTCCAACATGGTCCAGCCAAGCTTGGGCTGCCCCATTCCATCACAAAATCATACTTTTGTGAGCTAGATGATTTTCAAGGTTGCCTTTTCAGTTGGCATTTTGTTTATGCCATCAAGATATGGTTGAGTGCCATGGAAGTGCTACTTTAGAGCCATTGTGATGTCATTTTGTTTTAAATTTATTTGCATTACAGAAAGGTCTTAGGGGCTCAGCCTCAGGGTGGACTGAAACAGTGTGCATGGATCAGAAGAAAAGCATTATGCTTGTGAAGACCGACAAGATCTTTTTATTGAAGGGCTTGACACTGAAATATTAAATCTGCCAGAAGTTTCACTTATGATTAAGAAAATAATCTAGGTTCCTAGTCTTGTTCAAGACTGGAAGAAAAAGTAATGTCTGATGAACCTGTGGGAGGCTCAAAACTCAGACTGTGATGTGTTAAGTGAGTTACTTGAGGCATTGAAGGAGAGCTCCAGACTCAATTGATTGGTATTTCTTTCACTGAGATTAGTGTGCCCTAGATGATGTCAGGCTGTGATGCTCTCACACATCAGCCAGTCAGATAATTGTTGTTAGTATAGGGAACTGTAGGATAGATTATATGATGCACTGATGTCTGCTCTAGAAAGCATTGGTCAATAGTGTGCTAGGGACACTCTTTTACCCTAACAAGGATAAGATTAGATATTATCTGACTTCCTGGCTTCTTGAAGGCTATGCAAGTCCACCCAAGTGCTCATTTATACAGTTGTTAACAAAAATTCAAATTAGGTCATGGCTTTCAAGCCCTCAAAAGACCAAAATTGAAGGCAAGGGACAGACGAAGTCAAAGGGCCACCATAGCCTGAGGTCTGTAAAATGCCAGGAAATTGGAGAGATAAGAAAGAAGGTTTCAGCAAGTGGCTCACTCCCTGTGCTGTAAGAAAAGATGGAGGAATCCTAAATTGTGGCCCAAATGATCTGCCAGAAGTTCTCACTTGGTCCTGAGTCCCACACACAGCTTGATCCTTTGCATGAAAGCCAAACATAAAAGGTCTCTGCTGTGAGCAGAGACCTGGGAGGGTGGGTAGGTAGGTGGCTGCTGTCCTACGGCTAAGGCATTGTCACTGACCCCATGCCTGCTCCTATCCCTGCTCATTTAAGCCTTCCACTGCCTGAAAGTTGGCTATCTAAATGTCTTTAAGGGCATCAGCCTCAGGATCCAGCTGAGCCTTCACATACACTCTGTTTCTCGGTGATGCGGCTCACATGGCTGTGAATCTCTGATGCAAACGGGCCAGGCTGGGTAGGAAAGCTGGGGTAGGACCAGCTCTCCTGTACTGGGAATTTGGAGCAGAGATGCTTCATGGCTATGAAAACACTCAGGAAAGGCAAAGTTTAAGTTCATACAGTGAACTATCACACCATAGTCCCATGATACACTGCCTTTGCCAGCTAAGCTGCTACAGCCAGCTCCTGCCCCTGATGCTTGTTCCCACCTCTGGCCTGCAGTTTATCACCTCCTCAGCTGTGCCAAAACAACTGCGTGTAGAGCAGTGCTTGAATCAGCACACTGAAGTGATGGAAGTTAAAAATAAACTCTTTGTGGGAGGAGCAGAGGAAGAGCTATTTTTAATTGTAATCACTTCAATGGTCTTTCTTCCAGTGTGGTCCCACAAGGAATTCCATTAATACAACTGGGAGAAGGCAGTGGATTGCTGTGCTGGCACTGGAGTGACTCCTCCAGGCAGGAGAGTCCCTCCTGCCAGGGGGAAAGGATTTCTGGAGCCAGGATTGCACCAGGGCAAATGTGCTGCAGAATTGTACCTGCCAATATGCAGAATTATTCCTCACCTGAGTCAAAACTACATTCAGGTGTCCCAGGTTCTCCATTAGCTATTCTGTTTCCTAGATTCTCACAGTATTAATCAAAAAATTATTGCATGCAAGCCAGCCTTACCATCAATAAAAACAAATAAAGAGACACTGAGGTTTTTCCTGTTTTATAAACAAATACTCCTGTAATCATTCTGAATACTAGCCTCCTCCACAAATTTACTATGCTATGGATGCCACCCATTAAAATCTATTCAAATATAAAATGCACAGTAAATTGAGAATAAAAAAGCATCAGAAGAGACACAAAACTGGGTTTTATTTAATAAAGTTAAATGATGAAGAAAGGAAATATTTATATGTTCCTTAAAAAGCATTAAAAGTTTAAGGAAAAACAACTGAAAAGAGTTCAAACAGTTGCAGTGCAGCTACAAAATGAAAATTCACAGAATAATTCAGCAACTTACTTTTCTTTAGGCTTTGGTCATTCCCATGCTTAGATGTGCTTCTCTGTGAGTGAGTGAGTGACATGTGCAAAGCCTTGGTGATGTCTTGTGTTCAGGCACCTCAGTGATTTGTTTCTGTTTGAACATGAAATACCTCCACTTGCATTCAAATATTCCTGATGCATTTCTCCAGAAGCTTTTTTACCGGTGAAACGTGAAAAACAAACAGATTTCAAACTGCTGTCATCTTTTTAAATAAATAATTAATTACATTATTTTTGTGTGCCATTAACGATATTAAAAGTCTTTCTGTGATATTTACTGAGTTTCAAAGCCCTCCTCAGGAAAATGGGGTAGTAGTTTAACTTCCATCACACAGGAAAATGAAGTTGTATCCTGAGTCCCACATCAAGGCATCCTTTTTTTGGGACTCATGATCTATGTTCTGGATCACACCAGTTCCTGGATCCTTGGGTATGCAGGCAGGATTTAAATTTAAATTCCTAGACTCTGAGTATGTTTAGTATGTCCTTCAATTCTCTTCTAATAAATAGAACCAAGGACACAGTGAGTCAGTTTTGTAATTAGATTATATAATTGTCTCATGAACTCTGTACAAATTACCTCTTCTCTGTATTGTTTTTGCAGTGTATTGTTTTTCTTGAATAATATGGCACATATCCAGTGTATATTGCAGTCAATAAAGTACCCCAGTTTATAGTTTGATGGCCCACAAATGAATAACTGACATCAACAAAAATAATTAAATCATTACCCTTTTTAGTACCGTCAGTACTCTTCATTTAGACCACCAAATTTATTTTAAAATATTAGCATGTTTCCTTAAAAGCATCTGTTTCCATTTTTTTATTATCAAGAGGAAACCACAGATGAACCATATTGATCAGGTTTCAACAAATTTGTAATTCTAAGGTAGACATTAGCATGTAATGATGTAAAGGAAATTGCATTTTATTGCATTTTAATTGAACAGGTCAATTTGAGCAGGCCTTTCTCCAGGAAAATTCCCATCAGAGTTGAGTTTTTCATCACTAGATTTTATTTACTTCTTGAGCTTCACACAGCAGGTTTTTGTCTTCCAAATGGAGGATGATAAAATAATTTAATCCATTAAACAGTGTATTTTTGACACATGGAAGAAGTGCTGTTTTGAGCCCATACTCACATTCAGCATTCAGCCAAGGTCTTCCAGGTTTATTCCTATTCATTTGGTCCAACACCATTAAATTCAGGGGGTGCCCTTTTCCAGCTGAGAAGTTTGCTTTCCAGTTCTCTCCCTAGGCTCAACCAGCTCTGTGCTCCACAAGTCCAAATGATGAGCAATGGTTAGCTTATTTCAGTACAGAATATTTTTAATCATCTGGTAGCTACTCGTAGCTTCTGGTAGCTCACAACAATTCATTTCTCCTCTCTATGCTTATTAGAGGAATCACTTGTGAAGGGTATGTCACCTCCTGGACCACAGAGGTACATGTAGCTCCAAGCAGGCACAAGAAAAATACATTCTTTCCACTTCTTGCAAGGAGAAATTAAATTTGTTTGGAAAACCTCTGCTAAAGGAAATGTTATTCAACAATTCTGTTGAAGCTATCAAAACTAAAATTAAATTAATTTGAAAACTTAGCACAGGCCACAGACACCATTTGTGATTTGAGTAGTAACGATTCTCCTAGGCAGTAGGAACTAAAATAAGAGTGCAGCATAAATCCTGGCTTCAGGCTGAATTACACCCCTCTCCAATTCCATGAGTGAAATATCTTGAAGCATATTCATGTGCGCCCCTACCTTTAAAGTAAAAATTTTAAAACCTTCAACAAAGAGCACAAGGCAATAATTTCAACCACTTCAGGGGCTGTTGCATTCTCTGTGCCCTGCTGACCAAGGAGAAAATTTGAGGGTTTTTTTTGTAGTTTCTGGTGGCTGAGAAAGGAAGAGGTGCTGAGATTTTGGCTTCTGATCCAGGCATGTCAGATCTTTCCTACCACTCCCGATGTCAGCCTGTTACCAAATGGAAAGAAAAAAAAAAAATACAAAGCACTTTGTGTGCCCTCTCAAGATGGACCTTGCTGCATATTTAATTTTAAGTTGATTTTCTTTAAAGGGCTAAATACTTCAAAAACAGCACAAAAATCTTGATTTTGGATAATATGAAATATTATTGATATATTTTGATACAAATTTTTTTTTCGAGGGAAAGAATTTGGCTTAGTGTAGAAGCTGAAACACTTTGATTTAAGTAGTGGTAGCTACTTAAAAGCTGTGTCCCTACAGCCCAGCTGGTGGTCTGTGGGGAGTGGCACTGCATAGGGTGTCACCTATGGGGCATTGGGGGAAAGCTGAAAATAGCCAGGGAAAAGCCCTCCAGCCAGCTAAGCACTGCTGAGTTTTCATCTCCCAACACTCCTAGGCTCTGACAGCCCTACCTCTGTTGGATTTATCTGTGACGCCATGAGATGCCACTGATGTCAGTGCTCATGGCTGGCCTTTCTGCTGGGGTCACTGGCCCCCAGAATTAAGGGCAGTGGAAGTTTATAAGTGTGTGCTGCCCATGGAGATGGATCTGCCATCTTTAGTGTCCAATGGCATGGCGCTGGTGTCATAAAGAGGTGCTGTTAAACCTGACAGAGCCTGACATAACAGAGAGGACCTACATTGCCTTTACTGTTAAGTTCATTACAGGAGCTATGGTAGCTGCTGAACTAGTGCTGATTAGGTTTGTTTGGGACCAACAGCTTCTTAATAGCAGAAAACTCTGAATTAGCTGACCAAATATTCGTCTGAAGTTTCTATAAAATTCTGCTTAAAGACAGTTTAGTGAAGTTGAAACCATGACTTGAAGGACCAAGTAGCAATTCTTGCTGGTAATCTCAGAAGTGATCCACAGGCAAGGTTTATTTCTTCAAGCAATATTTCCATGGAGGTCTGTGGCACTAGCTCTTCATCTTTAAGTCATTGTGAACAAGGATAAATTTCAGCTAAACCAGTAGCCATTTTTAGGATCTGGATAAATGAGCAGAGACACAAGCAGAAAACACACACCCTATCAGAAAAAAACAACCTACAGTAATGTTACAATGAAAATGTGCTGCTGCAAAGCAAATAACCTCTGCAAATTTATACTAAAACTGTGTTGTTGGGGGGTTTTAGATTATTATTTCAAAGGTGAATATTAAAGTTGTGTGCTGCTAAACTTATGTATGATTGTGATTGGCAAATGCTAAATGGATCATCCAGATATCATCCTGGTTACTGATGAATGCTAGCAACTCCCTGAAGTTATCCTCTAACACTGGGGCATGGTATTTTCTTCAGAGTTTATTGAAAGTGCATGGGTGGTTTTTTTTGGTTTTTTTTTTTACCCTTGGAAATAGTAGTTACTCTATACATCACATTGATTTACTCTGAGAACTGCTTACTCAGAAAAAGGCTGCTAAACTCTATCCATATTAAGAATACAAAAAAAAAAATTAAAATCTCGAAGCTGAGTAACATTAGGATTATTCCTATCTCCTTTGTTACTGTGCTCCATCTTTAATACTAGAACTATTTTTTCCATCAAGAAAGACAAAACAAGAAATTATTACAATGAGTGTATGTAAAACATGTAAGAAATTTCAGCAAGAATAAAACCTTACGTACACTGAACGATGCTACTTCTTGCTCATCTAATTGGAATTAAAAGAAAGTCGTTTGACTCTTTAAAGTTCAGTCATCTGTGACCTCTTAAAATCAATCAACACCAGCAGGGGAACGATGCATTATAGCCACCTAGTTTTGGGACGATCGGCTTTTTAATTGTTCTTTTGCCTGTTTGCAGATACTGGCGTCCTTAACTATTGAATTGTAAATTCAACGTGAGCAGCAATAACGGATGCATAAACCCAACTTATTCCTAAAGTAATGGAAAAGTACGGATTATTTGCACGCCCTCTTTGGTCGTGGAGGCTTAGGCGAAATGGATAAACACTGGCAGTGATTACATGAACGAAATGGAAATTGCGGTATTCCCACGTCGAACGTATATATTTATACTTCTAACTGCAAATAGAGGGCTGTGTCCGCGAAGCCATTAACACCGAGGGTAAGAAAAGCAAAAGGGAATGAAGGCGTCGCCTCCCCGGAGGTGAATTAGCAGCATCGCTTATCTTTGGGTCGACGGGGATAGGACCCGCCCGGCCGGGACCTGCCTCCGCGACTCCCTCCGACACCTCCATCTATCAAAAGGAGGGAGAAGCCCGCGTCTGTGGGGATGACAAGCAACGCCAAGGGGGGTACACGCATTTTGCCTTTCCATGGGGGCCCCACAAGTCTCGTTGGAAACCTCTCCCTATCTCCTCGGTCTCCATACCTCCCGTGGCACGTTTGCTCATACCTTCCCGAGGCAGGAGCCATCCACTTACTTTTGATAGCAGCGAGGAGCAAGGCTATTAATAGGCTATCTAATTACCCCGAACTGCTAACTCTGAAATCTCTCATTCTGTGATGTGGTTGTTTTGATTTGATTTTTCAATCTAGTAACGCTTGCATGTACAGAACTGGTCAGACTCGCTCTGGAAGATATTATTTTAACGTTTAAAAATCTACTTTCATTCCAAGCAGGAACAAAGTCCCCAAACTTTGACATTTCACACGAAAGCAGCAAGTTAAAACATTATTATTTGTGATGGAGGGAAGCGGTTTGCTTAGCTAAGACTACGAATATCGTTGTTTGGGTGTTTAATATGATTCTTATTAGCACGTGTTCTCAGACATTTCGGTCAGGCAGGTAAATGGGGAAGAAAGCGGTTTCAAAAGGGAAGGCAAGAGGTTGCCACGATGCCAAGAGAAATGGAGCGGCCCCGCCGGAGCTCAGCGTGGACATGTATGAAACGGAGCTACTCCCGAAAAATGCTTCCAAGAGAACATATTCATTTTGAGCTGTGGAAAACATTTCACTGGAAGATTGTGACCTGTTCTGATGATTTATTTTATTTCCTGGACAGAGAAGTAAGAACACAGCTATGTGGGGGGTTTCCCGGCAGGTTTCGATGCACGCATAAACCGATGCTCCCTTCACGGTGTGCGGCAGTGGCGACAGCCGTCCCAGGGAACAGTTGGTGATGGTTTTTGTTTGGTTGTTTTTTTTGTTGGTGTTTTGTCTTGTTTAGTTTTTGTTGGAGTTCTTTTGGGAGGGATGGGTTTAAGTGAGAAAGAATTAACTCTCTGTGCTGCGGTCATGGGGGCGGAGGCAGGATAGCTAATTGCAGATCGGATTTGATATTGCCTAACATCCGTGATAGGGAACGGGGGGAGGATGAGGAGAAGCTCGGCTCTAAAGGGCTGGGGAGGAGAAGTGCGGCTCCGCCGTGCCCTGCGTCCCGCCGCTCCCGGCTCTCTCCCACAACGACCACTCGCAGCAAGAAACTTTCCCCCGAGTTTTCCTGTCAGATCCAGCAGAAGAGAGCTCTGAAAGCCTTCCCCAGCGCCCAGACAGGAGCGGGCAGTGATCCCCACGGCTCCGGCCCGGGAGACGCGGCGGCGGGAAGGGCTCTGGGCTCCCACCGCGGCCGCGGGCGGAGGCGGATCCCACCCCCACGTCTCCCTGCTCCCCTCGACGGGGAGGTGGGACAGGGTGGGGGCCTTTCCTTCTGGCCTTGTTGTCTTGAAACGCGTTCTTTCACTAGGTGTGAAAGTCGATTCGCACACAGAGTCGAGGTACTTGATTTATCTACAGTTGTGTGCAGTTAAAAATAATACATAATATTCGTCGCCTCAAGCAGTGAGTGGAACACAACCCCACTGTTCTCTTTGTAGCACGGGCATTGAGGTGCCCGTTGATAAAACGGTCAGATTTAGGCCATTTTAGCCACGGATTCTCAAAATCTTTAAAACGGCAGAGGAGCAAGAAAAGTGATCCTTAACTAATTTTCAAAGTCTCTGTGTATGCGCTGTAAAGAGACAAATCGTGTATGCCCCTGTTGGACAGAAGCAGCTGGATCGTGTTCTTCAGGGTGCTGCGTGTGTCCCCGCTGCATCCCGGTCCCCCCGAGAACCGGAGGGCATCGCCTTCGTCCTGCGCGCCCCACCGGGGCTCGGCGTGCGGGTACGGCGGAGCGCCGGCTCCGGGAGTCAGGTTACGCGGAACAGGAGCCTCCCCCGCGCGTTTTGTTGATCTTATTTATTTAATTTTTTTAAGGCTGAAATCATTAAACAGCCGGACCTCAGAGACTGGAAGGAGGGCAAATAAAAAGAAGCTGCAGATCATTATTTAAAAAAACCCCAAACCTAAAAAAACCCAACACAACAGAAAAACCCCAACCACACAGAAACCACACACTTGGGCATATCTTGCATAAATGTCCGTGCGGGCTCTCTGCTGCCTGATGCTTATTTGAGAGTCAAGTGTTTAAAGATACGGTGGAAATCACCCAAAAGCACGCAGTAGCAGGTCAGCAGTGACCGGGAGGTCGTTGACTGCAGTGGGGAATATCATTTTGCCCCGCTCCCCGCCTCCGGGCACGGCTTCAGCCTGGGGGAGAGCCGAGCGGCCGGCAGGGAGCGGGCAAGGTTCCGCGGGCCGGGTCAGGGTGTCCTGCTCCACGGGGCCCGGAGCCTCCTGTCTGCAACCAGCGAGGACGGCTAGAGCTAAAGCTCGGCCTCTGAGCACCCGGTAACACTTCGTTAGGATTTTCGAGGAAAGAAAAATTAATCTCTCCTCATCTTTGGTAGTCTGGGATTCCGTCATCACCGTGGGACACATCTCATCTATCACAAAGGACACGTTCACCGTGCTCACCCCTGCCCATGCTGTGGTGTGTAGAGGATCTTGCTGCTTTGGGAGTCAGTTTTGGCTGACCATTACCCTCACCTCCCTGGGCTGTCCCACCCGGCCCGAGACGGAGGTGATGGGTGATGTCAAAGGCCCCTATCCCTCTGAAATCCATCTCTTCTCGGGCGGATGCGGATTTCTCCGCCAGCTTCGGCCGCCGTTCTTGCCGCGGGGGTTTGAGCTCTCCGCGGATGGCAGCCGGGAAGCGCAGAGCCGGCCGGCAGCTCCCCGCTGGCTGAGCGCTCCCCGGAGCCGCCGGTGTCCCGATCGATATGTCCGCTTCAATGTCACAGCCGCTGGGCAATGGAAACAGTCCGTATCGTGGGGTGGCCTTGATAAAAGTATATTTTAAGTAGCGCGGATAAGCGAAGGGGAGAAGAGAGGGGGAGAGGTGCCGGCACGTCGCCCGTAATAACCGCGGCGCTTATCAGCCCGGCCTAAACTCCCCAGCAGTTTCTAAAGTACATTAAGTTACATAAACACGTCTCGGAAAAGAATACACTCCAGCCTGCGATAGTCACCAAAGTGACCCCTCGCACCGCCACGCACCCCAACCCGCCGGGCCCCCACGGCCGCAGCGCCACGGGAGCATTGGGGCCCGATGCCGGGCGATGCCCGATGCTCCCGAGACCCTCTGGGCCGAGGGGCAGCGAGGGTGCGGCCGGACCAAGCCTTCCCTCCTCCCTAGTGCACCCCTGCTAAGGGATCACGTTTGCGGAGACCCGAGAGTGGGGGGAAGGAGCAACAGCTCTGCGCTTGCACACGGCTTACCCCCAACCCTTTTTTGGGAGGTTGAAGTGCCCGCGAGGGAATTTGCCTTAATTGGACACGAAAGTCTTTTTTTCCCCAATCTGCCTTCTTCCCTCTTTGGCCTCAACGACCAGGAGCGATGGTCACCTCGCTGGCACCTCCTCCCCGGCGGTGTCTTCCCCGCAACCGAGCACCCCCCTGCTCTCAAAAATGTCCCTGCACATGCACCCCCGGGTACCTAACCCAGGCATGGCGCAGGAGATACCCGAGAGCCGCCCGGAGCCCCGGGGTGAAAGCTACGTCAGCAGAGCGGGATTTGGGGAAGGAGTGACGTAATGAAGAATTGGGAGTCTATGATTTAAGCGGTTCGACAGCAAACCCTAAACGAAAAGGAGTGGAGAGAAAAGGGGTGACTGGGAATGGTTTCTCACGCTGGTCCCAGTTTAAGCCGGGTTTTCTTATCGTGTTTATCGGAGGAAATAAAATTAAGCTTGTAGCCCGGCTATAACGTAAACAGGCTAATCGGCGGGGAAAAAAACCAAGGCGCCTGAGTGTAAAACATGGGTCACTTTGGAGCCAGGGAAAGAGGCGCCTGCCAGGGCAACGTGCCCGTTTTTCCCAGCCATCCTCACCTTTCGGGCAGGCACCCTTCGGGCCCAGGCGGGTCCCCACCTCCCCCCATGGGCTTACATGAGCACCGGCAAACACCCCCAGCGAGCAAAGCCCGTCACTTGAAAAACCTCTCACGGTATTTCTCGCTTTATATCCACCTGTACGCGTGTTTGAAATACCCTCGTGTTTAACTGGAGAAGGGGCATCCAAAAGACTGAAAGGAAACGCGGGGTTTAAAGCTCGGTGCTTCTCAGCACAGAAATTTGTAGTGGCAGCGCCCAAGTTGGGGAGAAGCGGGGTGGGCATCGGCTCCTGAGGCTTCCACTGCTCTTGTCTCTCAATTGCAGATAAAAACCACGCCAAAAATGTTTTACGTTTCAAGCTAGCATCGAAAGACGAGCCGGGTAGAAACAAATCACCGCCCTCACTTGCAAAAGCTTATTTTCTATTAAATATTGCACTCACTAAAATACACCTAAAAGTAAAAAGGAAAAAAAGTCACTTTAGCCTGGCAGGGTGACCGATATTATTTAACGATATTATTTAGAGACAACTGACAAGAAAGAGATATCACCTTTAATAATACAATTTAATAAAGAAACGGTTTCTCGGGAAAGTGATTGTTTTCCAATCAAATCCCTGTCGCGCTATACCACAAAAAAGTAACGCGCACAATAAACTTCCAAGTCACAATTAGTTCACCCACGCCGGCAGAGCGGATCGCTACAGCC